GCCCCACGTTCTGGCTCCGTCGTTCCGGATATTTTGCTGTTCGTTTGGCTGTTTTTTACTTGCTGCTTGTCTCTACCACCCTGGTCACCATTTCGCTGATTTTGTTCCTCTTGCTCTCTCTCCTCGTCCGGCACTCACAGGTGGGCAGAAAGTGAAGGTGGTATTGGCGGCAGCCATGTGGAGCAACCCGCACATGATAGTGCTGGACGAGCCCACCAACTACCTCGATAGAGACTCGCTCGCTGCGCTGGTCGGTGCCATCAACGACTATGAGGGTGCTGTGGTGGTCATTTCTCACAACAAGGAGTTTTTGGCGTCGCTCACCAATGAGACATGGACAGTTGAGAACAAGATGGTGATTGCCCCTGGCAATCCTGCGTATGAGAAGTCGTTGAAGGGTGGTGGAAAGAAGAAATAGGCCGATTAGATTCATTGTAACACGTCGCGAAGGGGCGATGGCTTGTATTTTCATTTATTGTTGCACCTCCCAAAAATTCGAGTGCAGGATCACTTGCTGAATCGCCTGCTTAGGTCAAGACAAGTAACATTTTTGAAAAGTATGCTATGCAGACTGTATGGCGAACTGATACTGAGGCTGTAACAGCTGTGCCTTCTGCGTCCACATTTCGCAGTGCCTTCTTCTGCGAATGTTCCAAAAAGAAGTTTTTGGAACATTCGCGAAAATGACACCTTCGCACAAGTAACAGAGCGGAGCAAGCAGGAAAGCGCTAAACCCTTGTCCCATCGTTCGCCCACCAAATCGTCGGCTCAGATCATTAGCTGCTCGGCGCTTCTGAATCTTGCTCTTCCTCTCTTGTCTGTATATATTCTCGCTTACCTTTGTGACAGCCCCTTTTTCTCCTGATTGGTCCTGCTAGGCGTTGAAAGAACCGTTAGAAGCCATGGGTCGCCGTAAGTATTGGTTATTAATTGGCGATCCAGCTTTCTCGCTGTTTATGTTCTTCTCCCGGATAGTGATTGACCGGTCATCTGTTTTTTTTTGCGCTTTTTGTGGGTGGTACGTCTGTCCGTCACGTCAACAGGCCCTGCCAGGTGCTACCGTCAGATCAAGAACAAGCCCTACCCCAAGTCGCGATACTGCCGTGGTGTTCCCGGTGCGTCGCTCTTTCCTTCTCGTCTCTATCACGGAAATTAGGGTTTGGTCTCGTTGCTCGTCTGACGCAAATGTCATATTCAAGTGCTTGGCGCGTGGCCATTGCGATGATTGTGTTTTTTCCTTCTCTCTTTACCCTATTGTGTTTGTGGTATGGCACTGGTTATGTCTGCCGTGACGCGCAGATGCGAAGATTCGCATCTATGACGTGGGCATGAAGAAGAGGGGCGTCGACGAGTTCCCCTTCTGCATCCACCTCGTCAGGTAAACACCGCCTGTATTAGGCGGTTAGGAACGGCCGTCTCGTCGTATGTGTCTCCGTTTTTAGGCAAATCGACACGATTTTAGGATCACTCCTGGACGCTCATACGAGGGCGATGGCGACGGGTGTGCGGCGCTTTCCAAAGGTTCGAGAAGCCGCTGCCTTTCCTTAACGTGTAGGCGTGTCAGACTTGCGGCTCCGACTAACTCCTTCGAAGGTTCGCGTAGTAGGGTCAGTTCTAAGTGTAGCCGCCATTCTGTTCACACCGACCGCTAAACTCGCGCAGCAGCAGCGGCGGAAGCGAGCGGCTTCGTTGTTTCATTCGGAATTCGGGAAAGTAGACTGTGATGGGTCTTTAGTCCTACAGGTTCTCCGCGCTGTTTCCGTCTAGCAGTATCGTTTCTTTATCGTGGTTCGCAGTAGCTGCGGGGTGCGATTCGTATGGGTAAATCCGTCCGTGCGAGTTGCTGCGGTTGTCAGTTCCACATCAAATTTTCAGGCATCTTCAGTTCGCCTACATTTGGGCTCGTATTTCCCGTTGGATACAAGCCTCCTATCCCCGCTTTCCCACGCCGGTTTCCGGAACGCGCCAGCTGCAAGGTTCAGGGTTTAGCTGCGCTGGCAAGTATGCCTGTTAGGGCTGCTGATCTTCTCTGGGGTGACCTGTGCATGTGAAAGGCTTCAATTCTGTGCGCTCTCGCCCTGTCTCCGCCACGCGCTACCCTCTCTCAGTCAGCTTCATTTTGAACTCCCCCTTCCTCCCACCGCCCCGTCCCCTTCCATCCCCCTCTTCCGCGTGTGCGCGCGCTTGGCAGTTGGGAGAAGGAGAACGTGTCGAGCGAGGCGCTGGAGGCGGCGCGCATTGCGTGCAACAAGTACATGACCAAGTACGCGGGCAAGGACGCCTTCCACCTGCGCATCCGCGTGCACCCCTTCCACGTGCTCCGCATCAACAAGATGCTTTCCTGCGCCGGAGCTGATAGGTGCGTCCCTTGCGCGCGCACTGATAGTTGCGCTTACCTGCCCCTTTGCTGATAGGTGCGCTCTCCTGCGCATCCGCGTGCACCCCTTCCACGTGCTGCGCATCAACAAGATGCTTTCCTGCGCTGGAGCTGATAGGTGCGCTCTTGCGCCCGAGCCGTTAGGTGCGCTCACTTGTCCCCCCGCTGATTGATGCGCTCACCTGCGCATCCGCGTGCACCCCTTCCACGCCCTCCGCATTTCCTGCGCCGGCGTTGATTGGTGCATCTCTTGCGTCCGCGCAGCAAGGTGCGCTTTTCTGCGAGCGCGACCCTGTAAACTAGGGTTGCCTGTTTGACGCTGCTTTTGCCAGGGCAAGCTTGCGCGTTTTTTGCCCAACGGGTTCTGTTGCCACACCTTGATGTTGCTATTAGCCTGCTAATCACGACTATCGCTGTTCCACCGCTGTATCGAGCAGGCTCCAGACGGGGATGCGCGGGGCGTTCGGCAAGCCCCAGGGCGTGTGCGCGCGCGTGGCGATCGGGCAGGTGCTGCTGTCCGTGCGCTGCAAGGAGGCCAACGCCGCCGTCGCCGCGGAGGCGCTGCGCCGCGCCAAGTTCAAGTTCCCCGGGCGGCAGAAGGTCATCGCCAGCCGCAAGTGGTGAGTTGTGAGATGGCCCTGTCCCCACGGGTGATTGAGCTTGTGAGGGGGAGCGGAGGGGACAAGAGAGGAGAGGGTGTGTGGCGTGGGGGCTTGGGGAGTGGCAGTGTGGGCTTTGGGGAATGGCAGTGTTGGCACTGGTCAGTGGCACTGTGGCTGGAATTTTTTTCTCAGTTCTTACTGAGCTTGTTACCTCGTGCAAATTAGTCATGCGGCTCTCCTGATTAATCGTGCTGCCTTGTCTGTCGCGGTGTGTGGTGCAACAGGGGGTTCACAAAGATTGCACGGGCGGACTATGTGAAGTGGAAGCAGGAGAACAGGCTCGTGCACGACGGAGTCAACGCTAAGGTGCGCTGCGCTTGATGGGCTCTGTGTGTGGTACACTTCGGTTCAATTTTGCATGATTGCGTGTTGTGCTGGTTGTGCTCCCTCTCTCTCTCCCCCACCTCCTCTCTCTGTCTCTCGGTCTCCTCTCTCTCTCTCTCTCTCTCTCTCTCTCTCTCTCTCTCTCTCTCTCTCTCTCTCTCTCTCTCTCTCTCTCTCTTTCTTTCTCTTTCTCCCTCTCTCTCCCTCTCTCCCTCTCTCTCTCCCTCTCTTCCCCCCCCCCCTCTGTTTCTCCCTGCACCATGTTTCCTTTCACCGTATGTCCTCTTATTTTGTGATTTTTTTTTTCCTGCCTGCCGGTGCAGCTGCTGGGCAACCACGGGCCTCTTGCTGACAGGAAGCCAGGTCAGGCCTTCCTCACCCCTCCGGAGAAGCACGACGCTTAGAGGACGCGTTTAGACTCACGGTTCAGTGCAATCGGTTAGGGCCCTGAGCTGCTTGTGGTGCGGCAGCGTTGCGTCTCGACTGTGTAACTGTGTGTGCAGCCATTGGCAGAGCCATGTTTCTGGATGAGATTTATGAAAGCTTTTGTGTATGCACGGTACTACAACATTGCCCAGGAATGGTTTTCTTAATGTTCTGTCACAAACAGGCGTAGGTTCATTTACGGTAGTCCAAAATCAGAGGACTGGATGAGTGTTACCATACCAGTTCATACGGTACTAGAAATGTACAATCCGATGTTCCTCCCACTACCCTAGTGCATGGTTGCAAGGGAGGAGACTACAAGGACCATCTGTAATCAGCAGTAGTATCCACCAGTTCCTGTTTTACGGTATGGGTCATGGTGGTGGTGGGTTGCTTGAAAATCACCTCAGCTGGGTGAATTGGCAATCAACCATGAACGTACGGTAAGGAATGCTGGATTGGATGTGACACATCAAGAACTGGGATTATTGTTGCAAAATAGAACAAACCTAGTGTGTTGTGGAATTGCTGTTAGGTGTGGATTTTATTAGTGACATATTTTATGGATTTAGTGTATTCGTCTACGGATGATGTCAATGTTGCCGCCTTGTTGGGGGCACTGAGGTTCCGCGCCAAGTTGTCCAATTTTGCAAGGCTGGTGAAGCACAAGGCCATCACACAAGCCTCGTGCTGAGGTCTGTTTCGACTGGCCTACGCACCCAAGACGGAAAAAATTGTCTACCCTGGCACGGATTAGATTTGGAAGAAGCTTCACAACTAATTTCTTCGTATCGGAACCTTGGTCAGGCAAGTTTCCCTTCTTCGGGGCTCAAGGCTACAAATGCATCAGAATAACAGGGTGACGAGTTGATATAGACTACGGTTGACGGAGGATTAAGTATTTTGGAAGTTTGTCCGAATGGAAGAATAATGGTACATGGGCATCAATACCAAGCAGTAGTTCTGATTGTTTTTCTGCTGGATGGGAGGTTTAATACAGTCTTTCACGGTTGTGTGTGTGGTTTGCGCTGGGGACGTTTAGTCAGAGGGACTTGTAGATTTGGTTCGTTTGAACAAGATCCACAATCCAGCACGTAATTACAGCTCATGATGCTTTAATTTCTTTGATTGGTCAGAGGTGACACATGGACACATTTCGCTGGCATAGCTTCCCCTGCCAGCTCCCTACTTTGCCTCGCTGGATCAAAATCATGAAGGTTGCCTTTTCGATGTCATGTTGGCGGTTCATGTGGCCGGACGAGTCGTTGATCCGTTCCGTTCCTACTGCGCTGCTGACTATGAGGCACTCTCAGCAAGGCCAGACGCGCGCGGCGGTTGGGGTTTTGGTCCTTGATGCGCGCAGTGCCACAGCCACTTCCGCCGGTGGGGCAAGGTCGTCTGCTACCACGCATGGTGGTGGCGGTGAGCTTCTGGTTGGCCCACCCTCCCTACCCACCCCCTCCTTCCATTCCGCTCTACCCATCCCGCCCGCTCCCCACTTTCCTCAGCCAACCATATCGCACACGCGCAGCACCGGTTCAAGGGAATGAAGTGAATCGTTGCGACTAGTGTGGTCCCGCCCGCCGTGTCGTCTTATCCGCGGCAGCTGGGGAGATGTCCAGAACGAGGAAAGGGGGTCTGTAAATCACTAGGCTGCCCGCCCTCACCTTTCCGCGTGAATCGTAGCTGCCACATCATCACTGACCAATGCTCTTCCTGCTCCGCTTGCCAGTCTGCCCGTGGTGTTGAGTGAAAGCAGCGGGACTGCTTTCACACCCAGGTTTATTTTTTAGCACGTGCTGGTTGTTCATAGTCTGCGACGTTTAGCTTCACTTTCTGGAGGCAAGCCGCAGCAGCCACAACTCAGCAACAGGAACAGGCGAAGCTCTCTCTTTGCTGAGCACTCTAGCTGATCAAACCTAAACCGTCACTCGCTCTTCGTTATCAACCATGTGCCAGCCTAAGTTTCTCCCAGAGCCAGAGGCCCCTCTCGTGGGCTATGGCAGCAGGGTAAGCTTCACGTTGCACGGCTAAGTTTGTGCCGATTGCTGTGCTCCGTGGCGCATAGCCTGACAAACCTATCCGCTTGTGCAGGCCCGGCTCCCGACGGGAAACCGCTCGCGAACCATCTCTCTGCAGGAGCTTATGGAGCATTTTCACCTTCCGATAAACGAAGCTGCTTGCAAGGTACGCACATGATTCCTGACATCACTTTCCTTTAGTTACGTGTTAATTTCTGGGTGGAGCTGATCGAGTTCTTTCTTTGCGCATTTTTCTTTTCAGTTGGGCGTTTGTGTCACCGTTTTGAAGCAGCAGTGTCGCGAACACGGAATCCAGAGGTGGCCTTTTCGGAAGGTTCGCAAGCTAGACAACATGCTTCACGCTTTGGAAAACTCAACACCTCCCGAGCGACTGCGGCCGTTCGCGCTTACAAACGGGGAGGAAGAGGTGAGCCACCCGAGGCGCTTTGCCGATGCCGTTTTCTATCTTTGTATTGTCACTACTTCTCATTGTGCTTTCCATAAGAAACGCGCCTCACAGGGCAACATTTGATTTCCGTTCTTTTTTATTCCAGAGAAAGCGGAAGATTGACACGGTAAAGGGAGCACTCTGTCAGCTTCTTGTGGACCCAAACTCGGCTGCTCATCTGAAGATAGGGAAGCTGAAGGGGACCAGAGTGAAGGATGTTGGCACAAGAGACTGCACATCAGCCGTTTCTCCTTCATCATCGCGCGAGATGTCACCCTCCCAAGCAAAATCTGTCAGGAACGAAGCGGAGGTGTTGGCGAAGCCGATCGCGTTTTATGGATTCGAAAATAGCTCGGAGGAAATCGTGCACGAGTCAGTCATCGATCAAGGACCGGTCGAGCTTGATCTGCTTTCTCGTGTGGGTTGCAACGAGGAATCGGAAAACGTGAGCGCGAGCAAGAGCAGCAGCGCAAATGCTGTTTCAGGGATTACTGACGCTCCAGCAGCATCAACACCAGGCCTTTCTTCAGCTGAAGGCCATAATGAGTCAGTGGTACAGCTGCTTCAATCATACGAGACTGGTCAGCCTGCTTTGAAAAGACCAAGGGTTGCTTCTTTCGAACCTTCTCTTACTCTGCCAGTAGCCAGAGATTTTCAGGCTGCTCCAGTTCCTACGGTGCCAGTTAGCCCCTGGCCGCTCATCCAGGGCTTTCCCACAGGCCTTGTTTCCCTACCGTTTTTGGTAGCAGGCCAACCACCAGTAGCCTTCAATCCTGCGGTGACTGGTTTCATGGCCTGCAGGCCCTGTCCCCCTCGTGTTTCCCTATTCTAGTGTTTCTCTGCTCCGGTGCTATGGACCACATGACGTGACTAGCCAGTGGTCTCTATCCTCTCCTAATAAATATGGTTAAGTACACCATTTTGTGCTTGTACATGGATCTTGAATGTTTAATGATCATGAGTTTGCAGAAGGAAAATCTTAAATATTGGTTTACTGTAGTGAGGTTGCCGAGTTGTACATCGGGTTGCAGTGCGGTGTCAATCTGACAACATGAGCCTTCATACAGTAGTTTCTTCTTAGTCTTGTGTGCGGTGATTCTGACTGCTTGCCTGCTGCTGAATTTGCTCGCCACTGCTGATCAGAGAGTTCAGGCCATAGTGCTGTAGGCATACGTCCATTCCGCCGCGCGCCGCAAATCGGCAGTCAGTTCCACGCGAAGCGAGGAATTAAAACAGCTGGAGCTAATGATACTCGTCAGATTAGACAGACCATCACTGTTGAGACTCGGAATTGGTTCGGGACGAGTTTGAACTACTGAGGCCAGGCCGCCAGGTAGTGCAACAGCAAGTTTCTCGAATGGAGCTGCGGCGATTTAGATTGAATTGCGGTAGTTTCAGAGTATAGCAGCGATGCGGACTGCCCGATTCCGTGACCAGACGCGGTAGGTTTTGCCTACCGCTTACGAACAGAGGAGCGGTTCCGGCGCCATTCCCGCCGAGATGATGTACGCAGCATCCCACGCGTCCTCGGGTCCGCCACGTCGACCACTTCCCGTCCCGTCATCGTCTCCGTCTCCGTCAGGATCGGCGGCATCGGCGGGCGATGGCCGGTTCGTGCCGAACCCGTTCCAGTACAATGCGCGCGTGGCGTCAGCGCTGGTGCCGTGCGTGCTGGTGCTGCTGGGCGCGGGAGGGCCGCTGGTCGTCGGCACGCTAGTGGCGGGGCTCATGCTCTCGTACGTGCTCGACGCGCTGCAGCTCAAAACCGCCGCGTTCGTCGCCATCTGGACGGCATTCTTCTCCACCGCCGCCGCCATCGCGTTCTCGGGAGTCGGCTTCGCGCCGCACGTGCCGGTGCCGCTGTCGCTGCTGGTGCTGCTGTCGGCCGTGAACCTCGTGTTCCTGTGCGGCGTGTGGGTGTCGCTGCAGTTCCGATGGCTACATCTCGAGCACCCGTTTGTCGTGCTCACGCTAGAGCGACTCCTCTTCGCCTGCACGCCCCTCACCGCCGTCGCCATAATCACCTGGGGGTTAGTCGCGTCGGTGGGGATCGTGTACGCGCCGTTTTACCTCGTGCCTGTGCTCTTCGCGCTCTTCTGGCTCTTCTCCCTCCCCGCTCCCTCCTCCTTCCGCGCCGCGAAGCACCATCCGCGGCTCCGCGGGAAGGAGTCCGACGACGTCTTTATTCTCGGGTCGTTAGAAAGCGCGATTCACGCGGGCGTGCTGCTGTTCCTGCCGTTGGGCTTCCACGTAGCGGTGCATCGCAACCGTTGGATGGAGTCAGCTGGCGACATCTGCGACGATCTGCTGCTCTTCTTCCTGCCTGTGCTCTTCCTGCTCGCCGCCTCCACCCGCGGCGCGCTGCACTGGCTCGTCCGCGACCACTCCAAGCTGCAACACGTGCGTAGCACGTGGATGACACGTGGGAGGGGATGTAGGCACGTGGGAGGGGATGTAGGCACGTGGGAGGGACGTGCATGGGACGTGCGGGGGACATGGGTGCAGGGGTCGGGAGGGGAGTGTGAAGGGGCTCAAGTGCTTGCTTGATTGATGGGGGGCGGATGGCTGGTGGGGGTCTGGATGCACGCACTGTCTCCCACCGCTCTGGTCCGCATCCCGTCCACTTGCTTGCCCCGCGCTTTTCCAGATACCAACGCTTTTTGCTCTCCCCATCATTCTCCCCTTCCTGCCACCCTTCCTGCCCCACCACCTGTTGCCCCTCCTCCTCCTCTCCCTGCTCCCCCTCCTCCCCCTTCATGCTCCCTATCCTACTCCCCCTCCTGCTCCCGCTCCTTCCCTCTCCTGTCCCCCCGCCTGCCCTCCACACCGCCCCACCAGGTACGAGTGGTGAACGGGGCATTCGCGCTGGCAGTGGTGCTGGTGTGCGGGGAGGTGCGGGTGATCTTCCCCTCCTTCGCGCACTACATCCACTTCCCGCCGCCCCTCAGCTACCTCCTCGTCACGCTCGCCCTCTTCGGCCTCGCCTTTGGCTTCGCTGCACACCTGCTGGGGCTCGTCACAGGGCTTGTGGGCACGTCAGTGCTCATGGCCGTGCTGCTCGTGTCTGCTGTAGCTGGGTCTCTCGTGCTTGGCATGCCTCTCACTGTGAGTCTCTGTGTTTGGAACGCCTCAACACCTGCTGGGGCTCGTCACAGGGCTTGTGGGCACGGCCGCGCTCATTTCCCCACTCTATCTCCTCATCCATCTTACATTCTCTCACTCCGTCCCCCTCATTCCATCCCCCAACCTCTAACCGCACCTCCTTCCCTTTACCCTCTACCACTTCCCTTCAACCCGATCTCCATCCCTCTCCCCCTTCAGATGCTCCCAGCACCCGCCATAGCAGCAGTCTACCTCGCCCATTTCCACTCCTCGCACTCCCTCTCCACCCTGACTCATTCTCTTGCACCACTCATCCCCTCTTTCCTCCCGTGCATCTCACCTCATCCCTCCCCCCCACCAGATGCTCCCAGCACCCGCCATAGCAGCAGTCTACCTCGCCCACTTCCACTCCACCCACTCCCTCACCTCCTACCTCATATTCGCAGCAGCAGCAGCCATCGCTGCCACCTGGTTCGTGCTCGACCATTTCTTCTTCCTCGCCCTCTCCGTCGCCGGTGTGCCGCTGCGCTCCATCTGCCAAGGGATGCTCGGTGCGCTGCTGCTCGCGCTGCTCGTGCCGGCCGCCACGCTGCTGCACCGCCCGCAGCGGGTGACTGGGGTTCTGGTTGTGCTGCAGGCGCTGCTGTTCGCATGGTGAGTGCGCGTGTGTGGAGTCTCAAAGGCTCATTGCTTTCAGCCCTGGATGAACGGCAATGACCAGAAGCATTTCGCACGTCCACTCCTCTCACTGCTTGCCCGTGCCCGCCTGGGCGTTTATCCCTCACCTCACCCATTTACGATGCCCCCATCCATGATCACCTCCCCCCGTCATGCAATGCAATGCGCTCTCCTGTCCACACCGCCGCTGTCTCAAAAACCTTCCATGCCTCCTTCCTCCTCCACCCGCCAGGCTGGTGATAAAAGAGATGTTTTGAGACGTCTCAAAACACCCCCAGTCTGCGTGTAAGGAGACGATTTTTGAGACGTCTCAAAACACCCCCAGGCTGCGTGTAAGGAGACGATTTTTGAGACGTCTAAAAAATCTGTCCACACCGCCGCTGTCTCAAAGCCTTCCATGCCTCCTTCCTCCACCCGCCAGGCTGGAGAGCCTCTTATACAACGGGGATGGCCGCGCAGAGGAGGGCGTGTATCCGAGCTTCCTCGTGGTAACCACCACCGTGGCAGGGCTGGCAGCGGTGCAGCGGCTACATGCAGAGCACAAGATAGGCGCGGTGGCGGAGTGGGTGGGGTCGTGTGTGTACCTGGCGAAGCTCCCCATGCTCGCTGTGTCATCTCCTGGCGCCACGTTCTCTTCCCTGCTGCTGCTCGCTGTCACTCCGCCCTTCTTCCTCTACCGGTGAGTGGGGGCTGGCAGCAGTGCAGCGCCTGCACGCGACAACATAGGATCGTGGGCGGAGTGGGTGGGGTCGTGTGTGTACCTGGCCAAGCTCCCCATGCTCGCTGTGTCCTCACCTGGCGCTACTCTCTCCTTCCTGCTGCTGCTGCTGCTTGCGGTCACCCCACCATTCTTCCTGTACCGGTGCGAAGGGGCTGTTCTTGTGTCGTTCCTGCCTCCCGCTGGCTCCTCGCTTGTCACCTCTCTCCTCGCCTGGCTTGCATCTCCCGTCCTCCACTCGCATACAGTCGTGGCAGCAGCAGCGATCAACATGCGCTGCACGCTCGTTGCTCCACGCTCATACCCTCCTCCCTGTCCTTCCCTCGCAGGGACAAGGCCCATGCACGCTCGCGCATGCGGCCGGGAGTGGCGGTGGTGCATGCAGCAGCGGCAGTGGCAGCAGTGGTGCATGCACGATTCATGCTGTTCGACATTGCTGTCTCTCTCACCGGTCACCGCCCCTCCCATGCGCTGCTCATTGGTGCTCTGCTGCTCGCTGCCATCACTGCGTGCCTGCCCATCCTCCTCTTGCACTTCCCCAACTCCATGGTGAGTTATGACTGCACCACACACGCTTTGCTTCACGCTTTTTGAATTCACCTACACATCGCCCTCTCACCTGCGTTCACAACCCTTGCCCCCCCATGGCTCTGCGCCTCACACCACCTTTTCCCACCTCCCCTCCCAGTCCGCAAGGCGCACAGCAGCACTGGCAGCAGCGGGAGCAGCGCTCTTCATGTGCCTGCAGCCACCCCTCCCCCCCGCATGGCGCACTCTGTGGGATTCAGCTCACTTCCCCGAGGAGGACGACCCCGACGACTCCACCATCTACGCCCTCCCCACGCACGGCCCTCTCTGGCCTGCCTGGCTGCTGCTCTCCCTCATTCTCTCCGGCCTAGCCGCCTTCCTCCGCGCGATTCCGATAGGGGAGGTGGAAGCAGTGCGGGTGGGGTACGCCCTGGGCATGGGTGTGGCCACGGGGGTGTATCTACAGGCGGAGTTTTTCCTCTTCCTGCCGCTGCTGCCCCGAGTTCTCCTCTTCCTGGCGGCGATAGCAGGGGCGCTGTTTCTCGTGCTGGCCCACCGCCCGCCCTCGTGGATCTCCCCCCACTCGCCGCTGCTGCCGGGGCTGTTTGCGGTGCAGGCGGCGCTGCTGCCGCTGACGTACCTGGCGGTGGGGAGGGCGGCACTGGTGGAGGTGCAGGGTGAGGGGGAGGCGGGCAAGGAGTATGACTTGTATGACGATACACGGCGGAAGGTGAGGGGTTGGTTGGTGGGGGGATGGGTCGGTACAATTGTGGGATTGTTCGTTGTGGGACAGGAGTTTCCTGTTTAGTATACCACCACTGCTAAGGGCGTATTCCAGCCTGGTGGCAAGGCAACTGTTGAAGGCATCCGGAATTCTTGAAGATGTACTGACATGCACAGAGGCATGTTTGGAAACATCAGAGGCGTGTTCCCGGGTTTGGGGGTGTTTGGGGAGGTTTATGGAGGTTTGGGGACACCGGTGTCCCTGGGCAGTGTCCCAAAGAACACTGGTGTCCCCTGGGGTTGGGGGTGTCCCTTGAGATACTGGCTAGGGACACCGGTGTCCCTGGGGACACTGACCAGGGACACCGGTAGGACAAAGAAACCGGGAAACCGGGAAACCGGGAAACCGGGAAACCGGGAAACCGGGAAACCGGGAAACCGGGAAACCGGGAAACCGGGAAACCGGGAAACCTCTCCTGTGTCTTCTTCCTGCTCGCCGCTCTCTTCCGCAACCTTAACCTCTCGACACATATCCCACTCCCCATCACCCTCCCTCCCGCCCACTTCCCCCAACTGGCAGTCAGCGCACACGGCACAGATGGGCATCTACTTCCTGCTTGCCGCTCTCCTCATCAACCTCCACCTCTCAGCACATGTCCCATTTCCCATCACCCCCCCTCCCCGCCTCCTCCCCCCCCCCACCAGGCAGCGCACACAGCCCTGGTGGGCATATACTGCGTCTACTTCCTGCTATCCGCTCTCGTCATCAACCTCAACCTCTCCTCGCCCCGCCCCTCCACCTCCTCCGCCTCCTCCCTCTCCTCCTACTCTGATGGTAACGGTCTTCCATCCACTGCTGCCAATGGCGCCTCTGCGCTGCCCCAGACCTCACCCTTCACCCCAAAGCATCGAACCTTCCAGGTAACCCAAGCATGCCACTCCTGCATGCACCCTCCGCTGTCATTCCAGCCCTCCCCTCCGCTGTCATTCCCGCCCTCCCCTCCGCTGTCATTCCAGCCCTCCCCTCCTCTGTCATTCCAGCCCTCCCCTCCTCGGCTCAACCTTCCTTGCACATCCTTAGTTTCACACCCATCCCTCTCTTTCTCCTATTTCTACTCTCGTCTCCCGTTCCTCATCTCTTTTCCCCCATCCTCTCGCCTCTCGCTCTCGAGCCTGCACATCAACTTCATGCCTTCCTTCTCCAGCTCATCCTCTTCCCGTCTTTCCTCCCACCCTCCAGCAGCGGCACATGGGAGTGCTAGCGACCTTCACCTCACGCGCCTCATGGATGCCCCTGGTGGGCAACGCAGCCACGCTCGCCTCCTTTCTTCTCTCCCTGCCCACATGATCCCCTTTCCGTCCTAACACCCCCTCCTTCCCCTCCCACCTCCCAGCAGAGGCACATGGGTTTACTAGCGACCTTCACCTCACGCGCCTCATGGATGCCCCTGGTGGGCAACGCAGCCACGCTCGCCTCCTTTCTTCTCTCCCTGCCCACATGATCCCCTTTCCGTCCTAACACCCCCTCCTTCCCCTCCCACCTCCCAGCAGAGGCACATGGGTTTACTAGCGACCTTCACCTCACGCGCCTCATGGATGCCCCTGGTGGGTAACGCAGCCACGCTCGCCTCCTTTCTTCTCTCCCTGCCCACATGATCCCCTTTCCGTCCTAACACCCCCTCCTTCCCCTCCCACCTCCCAGCAGAGGCACATGGGTTTACTAGCGACCTTCACCTCACGCGCCTCATGGATGCCCCTGGTGGGCAACGCAGCCACGCTCGCCTCCTTTCTTCTCTCCCTGCCCACATGATCCCCTTTCCGTCCTAACACCCCCTCCTTCCCCTCCCACCTCCCAGCAGAGGCACATGGGTTTACTAGCGACCTTCACCTCACGCGCCTCATGGATGCCCCTGGTGGGCAACGCAGCCACGCTCGCCTCCTTTCTTCTCTCCCTGCCCACATGATCCCCTTTCCGTCCTAACACCCCCTCCTTCCCCTCCCACCTCCCAGCAGAGGCACATGGGTTTACTAGCGACCTTCACCTCACGCGCCTCATGGATGCCCCTGGTGGGCAACGCAGCCACGCTCGCCTCCTTTCTTCTCTCCCTGCCCACATGATCCCCTTTCCGTCCTAACACCCCCTCCTTCCCCTCCCACCTCCCAGCAGAGGCACATGGGTTTACTAGCGACCTTCACCTCACGCGCCTCATGGATGCCCCTGGTGGGCAACGCAGCCACGCTCGCCTCCTTCCTGCTAGCGCTCTCTCTCCTCACCACCCTGGCGCAGCACGACAGCGACCAGCGGGCCATCTTCCTCATCGCACCCATCCTCCTGCTCCTCAACCCCCACCTCTCCTTCCCCTCTGCCTTCTCACACCGCCGCCGCTACTTCCCCCTCACCCTCGCCTGCTCCGCGTACCTCATTCTCTCCGTGCTGGTAACCGTTACGGCTGAAGCAGCCACGGCGGTGTATTACTGGGGGTGGAGCTGGGTAACGCTGGGTTACAATGTAACGCAGCTGGCGTGGACGGTGGGCATGGTGCTGCTGTGTGTGCCCATGCACGTGCTCTTTAACCTGTTCATTTGGGACAATGTGCGGAGGAGCGAGTATCTACTGCTGCTGCTCGCGCCGATGTGTGTGCCGGCGGTGGTACTGCCAGGGGAGACACCTGTGGTGCGGGTGGTGGGGGTGTTGGGGTTGATATATGCATTCCTGCAGCTACTCATTTCACGACACATACGCGTTGCTGGCTTGAGACTCATATAGCTGGCTGGGAAACCAGTAACCAGTTCTCCCCCTGACTGCCGGGGTAAGACATGTTTTTGAGGCATTACCGTATGTTCTCTCCCAACTTAGTATTTATACTGACCTGCTTTGCAGCTATAAACAGTACGGTAGCAATTAAAATTCCGCCCAAGACTGACTCAGCTATCCATACATTTTTCTTGACAATCCAGATTCTGTACATGCTGAAGCCTTCCCAGTCTACAATCCATGACCTCCAAATGCTTTCAAGCCACTACAGCCCCACAGGCAAGTGCTGGCCGGCTGCCACTCTATCGAGCTGGAAGCCGTAGTCGAGCAGGGGGTGCGCCTCCAGCTTGCTGTCGTGTGCCAGGCAGAAGTCTGGCAGGTCCACCTGGTCTTCCTGTACGTGCTCCCATAGGAACTCCACCCGGCTCACGAACTCAACTCGGGAGAACAGGCTGGGGGCGGGGGGAAGGAGGTGGGGGAATGAGGGAGGAGGATGTGAGTGAGGGTGGTGGGAAGATGGGATTAATCTTGGGTGTTGGGTGCGGGCGCAACTTGCAACGGCAATCCACAGGGTTATTGTGGCAATGGTGCCTCATATACTCCCCCTCCCCCTCGCCCCTCACACCCTCTCTTCCCACCTCTCTCAAAGCCCCACCTCTCTTCCCACCTGTCGCTCAGCCATGGGGACATCAACCACAGTCCGAGCCTGAGAGTCAGGCTCGGGTGTAGGATGTACACCGCGCCAACCCTCTGCCGGAGGTTCGGAGGGAGGCCTTGAAAGATGTCTTGGAAGGAGAGCAGCGCGAGCGGGTTGGCGTTGAGGGATTCGCACTCCGTGTGGATGTACAGGATGCTGACGTGGCGGTCGGGGCCGGCCAGTGAGAAGAGCTCGTGTAGCTTGTGGTGGATGTAACGCTCTACATGGTCCGTGGGGAAGACGTGGGCTGTTGGTGGAGAAAGGGGGGAGGGGGGAGGGGTTGTGTATGGGAGGATAGGGCGATGAGGGAATGGAAAGATGGGGAGGGGTAAGAGGATCACGGGAGATAGAGGGGAAAGAGGGTATTAGAGCGGTTGAGAGGGGAAGGGAGCGGAGAAGCTAGTGGGGGGATGTGCGCAGAGGAGGGCGAGGAGCAGCGAGGGCTTGGTTGTCACCTGGGAGGTACTTGCCGACGACTCGCACGACGATGCGCCCGTCCACGTCCTCGCCCTCGTCCTCCCAGAACTGCGATGCATGGATCAAGCATGTATGAATAACCATGGCAGAAGGACACAGTGGCCCAGTGGCACGATGGACACATGGACGGAAAGAGTGTGCGGGCACGGCAGGAGGGGACCGGCGGTGGGGGTGTAGGCGCGGGGGAAGGAAACGGCGCGGGGGGGAAGGCGAGGAGGCGGAACAAAGGCGCTGGGAGACAGAGGCCAATGCGCGCTGACTGAACCGAGAGCGGGAGATACGCGCGGAGAGACGCATGGCGTGGCGAAAATCGGAGACCGAAGGACGGCGCAGAGAGGAGCGGGGGTGACGGCGTCACGCAGCGAAAAACGGGGTTTCGGATGAGAGGGAGTAGGAGATAGCGAAGGCGTGGTAGCGAAGGCGTGGTAGCGAAGGCATGGTAGCGAAGGCGTGAGGAACCTACGCGCGTCTCTTCGATGTCCGAAAAGTCCTCCTCCGGCACGAGAGCCGCCGCTTCGGGCGGCGCAATTGCCGCGAGCTGCGTGCATGTCGGTCGGGCATCGGTCGAGGCGGTGGCGATAGGTTCCGCGGGCTTGGCGGTGGTGGCTTCTGACTGCACTACTCGCACCTCCATGGCTAGTCAGGACGCGTGAAAGCAATTCCGACGAGGTGCTTCTGGGGTGATGCAACGGGGCTGGACGGGAAGTGAATGGACGCGACAGGACGGGCACGGGACGCCCACAAGAAGAAATAACTTGATGGTTATCCGCGGTTAGTGGAGCTTCGGTGTTCGGAAAGCTTCTTTGCTTGAATTCTTTACGCGCGATTGCTATAGCTGTAACGAGTTCGCACTGCAATGATGACGTCCTTCCATTTTCGCGTTTACGAGTTACCTGTAAAAGAGTTTCGCACAAGCCATCCGCTGCCAGGGGTCGCTTGGCGAGGATTCCGTTTCGTGGCAGCACATCGGCCTCACACAAATGCCGCCGGATTGGCTCTCCATAGCCACGCAGCCTTCAACCACGTGGCGTTCCCAGTCTCTGACGTCGCCTGTCCAGGGGTGGCGAAGAGATCTCCAATCAGGCCAATGCTCTGAGCAAGTGACGCGGATTCCACAGGTTTCCTCAGGCGTGGCAGTCGGCTCCTCGCGAAGCTGCCGCCATTCAATTTATCTCGCCAGACTTGCGGTCCGGGAAACCACGGTGCTAAGGTATGGATATAGGTTTCCGTGCGGTGACTGTTGTTTGACTCTGACTTCGTATTTTCACAGCCCACATGAAGCATGCAGCTGAGCCCAATTCTTACCTGAGGGCGCGTAACTTTTTCACTTTCCATCGTCCGGACGGAGGCTCCGTCCTCACTTTTGTAGGGTTACTAATTTCGCGTCAGTTCGTTTGTAATTTCGCAAGCTCCTCTGCGACGTCGTCACCGTCCGGACCAAAGCTGACACTTTTCTGCTTCAAAGTAGTCCGGACTACCCTGCTGACACTGTCCGAACGGCACTTCGGACCGTCCGTTTTGGCTGCGCTGTCATTGGCGCACGAAGTGGGTGACGACCTCACCC